GTGAGGGATTACTTTGGGTACAGACGGGACTTTTTGGGTGCAGTTGCAGCTGTGCATGTTGGCATTTGTGTGCTCTTTGGCTTCACTTTTGCCTTCTCAATCAAGGTATTTAATTTCCAAAAGAGATGAGAGGAAATTGTGGAAAACGGAAAAAGCAAATACCATCGCTTCGGGTCCTTGGTTTTGCTGAAGTTCCAAGATTCTGTGCATAATATACATGTTAGGAACTATGCCAAAGCCTACTCCATAGGTATGGAGTTTGATCTTAAATTTTTAATTTTATTTTCATTTAACATGTAAATTTCGTTTTTGTTTAATACATATTATATATTTCTTTGGGCCAATGTCCAAGGTGTTGTATCTCAGCTATGTGTAATAGTATGTTCAACCTATAAATTAGGAGTAGAAACTGCCGCACTCTTCTTTTTCTCTCTATACGCTCCTTCATGTTTTTTTGTTTGTTTATGGATTGAACAAATCAAACGAGTATAGGGATAGGAAATTAAAATGGAGAAGCGTAAAAAGAGAAAAAAGAAGGGTGAATTTACTTCCTAAATCAATAAAGTTTCATGTTGTCCTAAAAATGAATAAGATTTTAAGTATGTTGACAGTAAGATGCTATATTAAAACAGAAAATTGAAAATGATGGATAATGAATGATAAGTTTAATTCAAGAAGACTTATCATGGATTATTAATAATCACTACCTACGACTAGGGTTAAAGGAGAACAATGAGAGAGAAGTGGTAATCATTTAGAAACAAGATAATACACACTTACGACTAGGGTTTGTTAATGGGTCGGGTCGGGTTAGTTCGGTCTAAATTTTATGAGCTTGGGCCAGATCGGACTTTTTCAAAATTTTAAGGCTCGGACCCAGCTCACAACTGGCATTTTATAGGCCAAACGGGCCAGTCTGGATCACAGGACCGAGTTAAAATGGCCTTACTTTAAAAAAAGTGTTTGGGTTAATAAAAGCTTTGGTACAACTTTATTCTTCAAAAAATATAAATTTTCAAGTGATAGTAGCTATTTTTTCTTGTTTGCAACCACGGAGGGCTAAGTATAGTCCCTTTATATTTTTATTACTTTTTGGGGTGTGCTATCCATACACCATATTTTACTTCTTACATACCTCTTGATAATTTTTGTCTATTGATCTTCTTAAATTCATCTAATCCGACGGCCGAAAATTAAAAAGATGTATAAAAAGTAAAATAGAGTGTGTGGATATCACATCCCTACTTTTTAGTATGCCCAAATACCTCTTCGATCTGTCACAAAATGGTGGGCTTCACGAAAAAAATTGCCCAAGTGTCCGGGGCCAACACTTTGTAGACCTTCTAGGGGCTGATGTGAACCTCCAAAATACGCCCATTTACAAAATGCCCTTTAGTTGGAGACTGTCGTATCCAACTTTAGGGCTAATGTTGGCCAAATGCTTTTGGTTGGAGATGACCCAATGTATTGTTTGAACATGATTGTCATGGGAGAAAAGTGTTCACCGAAAATTTTCAGAGAGAATTAATGTAGGGCAAGGAAGTAAATTGATATTGATACTACGCATATAAGTTAGCTCGAATGGTGACTAGATATTATTATTTTTGTAACAAAAATTTTTATGGGAAATTTTATTTGGATACATTTGTTTTATTTCTACACCCAATCAAACAATTTTTTTTTTGCAATAAATCCCCATATTTCCCTTAAATAATTTTAAAAAAATAGAGACGTATTTTTATCTCTACACCAAATAACCTTAAACACACCACACCAATGCACCTCTCCATTATTTTCAGCGAACCCAAACCAAACGTCGACAAAAAAATTCCATGAGTTTGTCAAGAACTGATATCTTCATTCATTCATTTCCTTCTCTTTCTCTTCCTCTCTTTTCTCATACCTTGAAAAGAATAGGAACCCCCCTTCTCTCTTTTCCGATTCATTGAACGTCGAAGCTTCGATTGCATTCGTTGAATAAAATAGAGAGGTGCTGTGGTGAAAACCTCTTTTCCCCTCTGTTTTCCTCGATGGTGGCTTTGGCCAACCTACAAATTCTATTTTTTTTCTAAATTCTTTTTATTTGTTTAATGGCAAAGTTGAAATTCTATTAAAAATATTTTTTAAGTTAGGTGCAAAAATAAAACAATGAGTTGAACTAAAATTTCCTATATTTTAATCTCTTCAAAAACAATGTTTGAGCCTCATGATCTTCCCCTACGATGAAAAAAAAAAATCACGTATCTCATTTGTCACTGCTTACGACATTATTGTTCTATCATTTATTATTATATATATCTAATTGTTCTGTGGAATGTATGTATGCATAATTTTCAGTACTAGCATGGGGAAATTTTTTTTAAAGTTTTTTCAACCACGGAATTATGAGCTATATGTTAGTTGCCTAAATGAAATGGAGTCCAACACGATTTTCTTCAAGGAAAGTGGAAGGAAATTTATTTTTGTGATCTGAATTATGAAGCAAGCAATGACGTCTCCATCAAAGAACACAGGAGTAAGCAATGACGTTTTACAGTCGATAAGAGGACGTCGATGGTTGGTAATTGGTATCATTATTCGTAATTCTCGTTAGGCCTAACTCTTTTTTTTTTTAAAGAAAAAAATCGTTTACCAAAACTGTAAATAATTTAAAAACCAAAACGACTAGAATTCCACTAATGAACATTTGACATCTGTATATTTTATTCTTTTAAATTTAAAAACTGACAATTATTTTAAAATAAACTCAAAATGACATTAGAGGCCCCCGAGCATGACGACGCCGAACCACCCGCACCCACCTCCGTCACCGGTCGGTGATTTCTCTGGCATCATCATCATCCTTCTCTCTGTTCGACTTTCTCTTTCTTTCCTTTCCCCTCCCTCTTCCGCTCTTACCTCTACTGGAACCCACAGATTGTCGGCGGCGACTCCAACTCAGATCTGCTGTCGTCAATCTCGATCTATCAGCCGGAGTTCGCCGACATCTTTTTTGTTCTTACTCTGGAGCAGGAAAGAGAAGAAATAAAAAGGGGAAGAGAGAGAGAGAAAGAAAGAGATAGGGAGAGCGGTGATGCGGAAGGGCAGGAAGGGTGGACTGGTGGAGCCGTGGAGGTATGGGGATGGGGAGAAATGGGTTTTTCAATTTGCAGGAAAGCGTTGGGGCTCACCCCACAACTTCAATTTTTTTAATTATTTAATTATTTTGTGAAATGAATATAAGGGTAAAATGGGTATTTTAGTGTCACTTCAGAAGTAGAGGTATAGGTGTCAGATGCTTGTTAGTGGGAAGCTCCGAGTCAGCATACGTGACAGGTACTTGAAAAAAATTCCTTAAAATATATAGTATATCATTTGTGTTTTCGTGATAATTAAAAATTTCTCCAAAATTACGTGTATGTTTCAAGTTCCAATGCCAACGGACATGGTTGATTCCTTAAATATTTGCAAAAGCTGGCAAAATATTGAGATAGAAGGAATTAATTTATGGCTGAAATTATTAGTTTTCGTAGCAAAATTACATGTAATGTAAGAGAAAATGTGAGAAACTTGTACTGGAAATTGTACATTCTTGGTTCTATCACATAGGATTAGTGTTTCACTGTTTTTGATCTGGCCTCGCATCATCACTTTCTCAAAGCATCTTATTATGGAAGCCCCACCAGCAAGCACCCGGTCATCTCCAATGAAGTACTATATGCCATATTTAGTAATAAAATTGATAAAATCTGTCTCTAATCAAGGGGGAAAGGGAATCAACCTAAAAGAATCAGACTAAGTTTGGTATGTAGTCCCATGATAGGCTAAGTTTGAACGAAAAAAATAATAAAATATAGCTCATATGGTTGGAGATGAATAAATTTATCTCTAAAATCATCTTTAAATGTTAACTTTTAGAGAGCTACGTTTAGCCTTTGTGATTAGAGATGATATTATTAACAAAGGGTTGACATTGTAGCTGGTGCTAGGTGATGACATAATTAATTGGAAAAAAAGAAAAGAAAAGAAAATATTCCGATTAATCGTGCTTGTGCTATTTTGTTGAAAGATTACAATTATAATGGCACTCTCAGAGTCTCACTCCTCATCATTTTAGAAATTGATCAAATCTAGCTAGCTGGGATATTAAGCAACAGATTCATACCATGATGAAAGAATTATTTCATCAAATTAATTTGTTCATTAATTGCATAATAACAGCAGACGGTGAGGATGATAAGTCTTGGAATTAGCATGTTTGATTCAATAAACAATCCTGTAGTTTCAGCTCTTAATTAATTAAGCAAATGATCATTGATTTTTGTTTGCTGTGTAAGGAAACTCCTGCAGATCTGATCTGGGGCTGTTTCTTTTCGTTTTGATCGTAAACTCTATTAGTTAAATCTGTGCAATCGGTGGCACATAATTTTGAGTTCTTGGACAGTTCAATATGCACGCAAATTAAAGAAACAAGGCTTCTATACTCTACTGTTCTTGCTTGCAAATCACAATGTTCTGCTATATCTCTTAACTGTATATCGGAGTATTCTTAAAGAATACAAGATTCTTATATCGGAAAACAATATAAATTACAATATGTAATGAACAGTTAAACACCAAAAGATACTGTGACAAAAATTTCTCACATGGTAAAATGTAAGTTACGTATCAAATTGGCATAAGCGTAAGACTAACATTTTTTTTTCTTTTTAAGACAAGTTTTTTTTTTTTTTTAGGAAATGTTGCACTATTATTTGTATACACATGCTTCAAATATAATATGGATCAGTTAGTACTACGATCTAGTAATATTCTTCTTAACTTATAAATGAGAGATATTAAGTTTAAAGTTTCAAATCTCATATGTAACGAGTTCGATAAAATAAATTATTCTCCCACTTTTTTGTTTCTTTTTATAATTATATCGTTACAGTACAAAAGAATAAAATATAAGTCCAAAGTCTCATTTCTAGTCTGGAGTTCGTATAAATAATACGTATCAAACTCCCATACCCACCGAAGGGAATGACATAGCTGGTATGACACATGCGTTTGGTCATCTCTCTGTCCGTTCATAAACCCTGGAGCCATTTCAATTAATATCTCAGTTGATTCAACTCTGAAATCCACGAAATACAATTTTATTTTGCATGTAAGTCTCTGGGAAAGCTTGGTGGGTTGTGTTTGGAATTTGATTTTATATGATAAGAAATTAGTGCAGTAGTTGAAGTGAAGGGACAATGAGCAATCCTGGGAGTGGACGTAGCAGCTTTGACATGTGGAGAAACACTTCCATGGAAGTTTTCTCCATGTCTTCTCGTCACGAAGAAGATGATGAAGAGTCTCTGACATGGGCTGCTATCGAGAGACTGCCTACGTATTTACGCACGCGGAGAGGTCTGCTTGCGGAAGAGGAGGGCAAAGCTAGAGAGATTGATGTGACGAACCTGGGATTACTAGAAAGGAAGAACTTGTTGGAGAGACTGATTAAGATTGCAGAGGAAGATAATGAGAAGTTCTTGTTGAAGCTCAAGGATCGCATGAACAGGTATATCAATTCGACTTTTTCCCTCTTTTTTTTAGAAGAAAATATTTTAAAGGAAAAATTAGTATCCGGTCCCTAGTTCTTACTGTTCATTGACTAAGATTTTATTAGTTCTCAAATTTTGATTCAAGTCCCTAACATTAATGTGATAATGAATTTACATGTTTATTATATAAATTTTTAATATAAAAATAGTAATTAATTTAGGGTTTAATACTCACACCCCTATTAAACTTCTAATTAATTTTCAATTCAAACATTTCCAAAATAATAAAAAATTAAATTAAATTAAGTTTGTACCTATTAGTTTTTTTTTTATATATATATAAAAAGATTCTTAATTTTTTAATCTTAAATGTACCCATTCATATAATTTTTCAATTTTTTTAATCTTAAATGTACCCATTCTCAAATATATTAATTTGTTATATGTAAAATGTACCCTTTTTTAATATAAAATCCATTCAAAATTTTTAATCCATGTTTAAACTTATATGGGTACATTCTTTTTCGTTGATTTGAGAATGTATCCATGTTTTGGTACAATAACTTTTTTTGTTAATTTTGGTTAATGTACCCATACATATATGCGTACACACACACACAATACAATAGAGAGTATAATTTATATTTTATTATTTTTAATCCCATAAATTATGGATTTTATTTAAAATCTCATTAATATAAACAATTACAAATTTCAATTTTTAATTTTTAATTTAAAAAAATATAGTAACTTATATTATTATATTAGTGTTAGGGACCTCAATAAAAAACTAAAAACTAACAAGGTTTCAATAAAAGAATATTGATAGCTAGGGACCGCATCTAAAGTGTCCCTATTTTAAACTACAATAATTTACAGTTTATAGAGAAAATCATTTGAACTGAGTGCAAGGTTAAATACCGACCAACTGGTTTAACTTACATTTGCATTTGACTTTTTCTTTTTCATTAACTTTTTCATGAATTGGTTGAGAATTTTGTGTTGAAGAATATGATCTCACATCGGTCATATGCAAAATAATTTACAATTAATACATCCGAGATCACAACTAATAACACCGAGACCTTTTTGTGATAAACACCTAGTAATATGTGATTAAGTTGGAACAATATCAGTGATATTGGTGGAGCGTATAGAGATCATTTTGTGTTCAGTATGTTTGGAAAAATAATTCGTCATTTGGTATTTCTTGAACTGGTGTGTCGATATTACATTTAAAACTTTTTGGGGACCCCTCTGGGCGGTCGCACCTGGGCCCCTTGCTGAATGGCCCTAGAAGAAACTCTTAACTTATTTGGAGCTGGTTTTTCTCTGTTTTCCAAAATTTACACTCAGAGTTGGACTTGAATATCCGACAACTGAAGTCCGGTTCGAGCATTTAAATGTTGAAGCAGAGGCTTATGTTGGCGGTAGGGCATTGCCTACAATGTTCAACTTTTCCATTAATATGTTAGAGGTAATTCAACTTTTGAATCAAACATAAATATTCGTTTTTTTCTTTACAAATTTGTGCAGTTTGATTTTGTACGTAGCAATTCAACTTTCTCTTGTGCATCACATTTTTTTTTTTCTCTCTGAAGTTGTTCTTGAATTATCTCCATATTCTTCCAAGTCGAAAGCAACAATTACCAATCCTCAATGATGTTAGTGGAATTATCAAGCCAAAAAGGTAATCAATTAGGCAATATTACTGATGCAAATATTTAAATTACGGTAGTTCTCAAATTTATGGTCTAATTTGCGCAGAATGACACTGCTTTTAGGCCCCCCGGGCTCTGGAAAGACCACATTACTATTGGCACTGGCCGGAAAACTTGGTAAAGATCTAAAAGTAAGCATGTTACGTTTTCTTTTATCTAATCAACAGACTATATAGCGTTAACTTTCATGTTCTGGTTTCATGTAATTGCTTGTAATAACTTGTAGCTTTCGGGGAGAGTTACATACAACGGACACGGGATGGAAGAGTTTATACCAGAGAGAACATCAGCTTATATAAGTCAACATGATCTACACATACCGGAATTGACAGTGAGAGAAACGATGGCTTTTTCAGCAAGATGTCAAGGGGTCGGGCCACGTTATGGTCAGTTAAAATACAGTGAAATTTGACGTGTGTAACTTATTAATTAGTTTGAAGTCTATTTCTTGACAATCAAAGTTCATTTGCGTTGGAAACGCTTTCAGAAATGCTGGTAGAATTATCAAGGAGAGAGAAGGCCGCAAACATTAAGCCGGATCCTGATCTTGATGTTTACATGAAGGTATGAGAAACGGAAGAGTACTGGAGGAAAGCAAAATTTTAGATTTCTCTTTGTAATTCATTTATATCAGCAATTACGCACCTATTCTTAAGAAAGAAATTTTATTTTCCGGTGTTGCTTGTATTTTACAGGCAGCAGCACTGGAAGGACAGGAAACCAATGTAGTTACAGATTACATAATCAAGGTACCCACCATTCGTCTACATTCTTGCATTGTGAAAAAATTATTAGCTAGAAGGACCGCATTTCTTTTACCACTCAATGACCGCATGATGTAAGAAGTACAAATCGACTGGTTGCATCATACGGTCATAAAAATGTGGTCTCTTTACTATATTCCTTCTGTTTTTGCTAATCAAGTTTTGCAGGTTCTGGGGCTCGACATTTGTGCTGACACCCTGGTAGGGGATCACATGAGACGAGGTGTCTCTGGTGGACAAAGAAAGAGACTCACCACAGGTAGGTTTGTAGTTCTAGAAGAGACCACAAATTCATCCCTACCAATTTCTAAATCCTGAAACTGCAGGGGAGATGCTGGTCGGACCAGCAAAAGCACTTTTCATGGATGAAATATCTACCGGCTTGGACAGTTCGACTACATATCACATAGTAAATTCACTCAGACAATCCATCCACATCCTCAATGGAACTGCTCTAATCTCTCTCTTGCAGCCAGCACCAGAAACTTATGATCTCTTTGATGACATAATTCTCCTCTCAGATGGCCACATTGTGTATCAAGGCCCTCGTGAGAATGTGCTTGAATTCTTCGAACAAATGGGATTCAAATGTCCAGAGAGGAAAGGAGTTGCTGATTTCCTACAAGAAGTAATTTAGTCGTACAATGACATATCTTCCCGTTTACTTATTTAATTTCTGCAGGAAGATCAGACTTGATAATTACAACTTTTATTTTTTGTTGTGTTTATTATAGGTAACATCAAGGAAAGATCAAGAGCAATACTGGGCTCATAAAGAGAAGCCTTATAGCTTTGTAACTTCCGATGAATTTGCTGAAGCATTGCAGTCATTTCACATCGGTAGAGAACTTGGCGATGAGCTTGCCATTCCGTTTGACAAGTCTAAAGGCAACCCTGCATCTTTAACAACTAAGAAGTATGGAGTTGGCAAGAAGGAACTTTACAAAGCTTGTATGTCTAGACAAATTTTGCTTATGAAGAGGAATTCGTTTATCTACATTTTCAAAATGATCCAGGTAAGTAGAATATGAGCATGTGTTGAACATTCGCTTTAGACTTAAGCCTAAAAATCACAATGTGAATTCTGGTATTGCTTTAGAAGAACAGCTGGAATTCAAAATATGACTAATCATATTGCTTTTAAAAAAAAATTGTTCGTAATTATATAAATGCCAAGTGAAAATTTGGATTGTCAACCTGCAATTAGCTAATTTGAACTACGGTTTTGATTTTGGTTTCAGTTTAGTTTAATGGCTTTGGTAACAATGACATTATTCTTACGGACTGAGATGCACCGAGGTAGTGTGGAAGATGGTGGGATTTACATGGGATCTTTGTTTTTCACAATTGTGATCATTATGTTCAGTGGGTACTCAGAACTTGCTATGACTGTAATGAGACTTCCTGTGTTTTTCAAGCAAAGGGATCTTCTGTTCTTTCCTGCTTGGGCGTATGCTTTACCGAATTGTCTGATAAGGATCCCTTTGACCATTGTGGAGGTTTCTATTTGGGTGACCGTTACTTACTACGTTATAGGTTATGATCCGAACATTGGAAGGTGAAAAACATAACATAGTAGAAATTAGTTTTAAAAATTTGGCCTCGAAACCATTTGTTATGGAACTGATGAAAGTTTGTACTGTCAGGTTCTTCAAACAGTTCCTTTCACTGCTGTGTATTAGCCAGATGGCAAATGGACTGTTCCGATTGATAGCGGCAATAGGCAGGAGCCCAATTGTTGCAAACACATTTGGGTCTGCTGCTTTACTTGTTGTTTTCGTTCTAGGTGGCTTTATCTTATCTCGAGGTGAATCAGTTATACAGATGCATCGTTATCATTTCTTTTTTGTTAACTGCTTTTAGATTTGATGGTTAAAAAATGCCCCTTTTGTTATCAGACAGTATGAAGAAATGGTTGCTGTGGGGGTATTGGCTCTCACCGATGGCATATGGAATGAATGCCTTGGCCGTCAACGAATTTCTTGGAAAAAGTTGGAGACATGTAAGCATCATTTTTTTACCGAGATGAAAGGTTAGTACATGAGAAAAAAATTAACAATGAAAAATGTTAGCTAAAATGTACGTGCGTGCAACATTTGGATTATAGGTTCCTGCCAACTCCACAGAACCATTAGGAGTTCTGGTCATGAAGTCTCGAGGGGTACTACCAGAAGCGCGCTGGTACTGGCTTGGAGTAGTAGCTTTACTTGGATTTATTCTTTTATTCAACTTCCTTTTCACCTTGGCACTTCAGTATCTTGATCGTAAGTACCAACTTAGACATTTTTCTTCTCATCATTGGAGATGTTCTAACAATCACACTAAATTTTCTGTAGCCATTGACAAGCCTCAGGCAGTAATGTCCAAAGAAGCCTTGGCAAAGAAACTTGCCAAGAAAACTGGAGACACCACCGAGCTTTCATTAACAAGAAATGAAAGTCAAGAGAATATGTCTGCCAATCGTACCAGGAAGCGAGGAATGGTTCTTCCATTTGAACCCCTCTCAATTACATTTAATGAAATCAGATATGCAGTTGACATGCCACAGGTATCTTTTCTGCTTTTGTAAAGGTTGCTGATGATGAGGGGCATATTTATTGAAGTGCTTTCTTCTAGTGTGGAATGCATTTACATACTTCCTATGCATTCTTGCAGGAAATGAAAGCTGAAGGCATAACTGAGAATCGACTAGAACTTCTGAAGGGTGTGAGTGGTGCCTTTCGGCCTGGTGTCCTAACAGCCCTAATGGGTGTTAGTGGCGCAGGAAAGACTACTCTAATGGATGTCTTGGCCGGAAGGAAAACAGGTGGATATATCGAGGGAAACATCACCATATCTGGATATCCAAAAAATCAAGAAACATTTGCTCGCATATCCGGATATTGTGAACAAACAGATATACACTCTCCTCATGTCACGGTTTATGAGGCTTTGATTTATTCAGCATGGCTCCGGTTACCACCAGAGGTTGATTCCCCAACCAGAAAGGTATACTTTCAAACTATGTTTTTCTTATTGGGGCTTGAGGCAGATGATACAATCAATGTCAACCAAAAGCTAGGTTGCACATGATTTTCATTAATTTTCTTTTCCATCAAGTTAAATCATTAACCATAAATTTGCCTATTGGTTGTAGATGTTCATCGAGGAAGTTATGGAGCTTGTGGAACTGACCTCAATAAGGGAAGCACTTGTTGGATTGCCCGGAGTGAATGGTCTTTCAACTGAGCAGCGTAAAAGGCTAACAATTGCAGTAGAGCTTGTTGCCAACCCCTCCATAATATTCATGGATGAGCCAACCTCTGGCCTTGATGCCAGGGCAGCAGCAATTGTAATGAGAACAGTGAGGAATACGGTGGACACTGGGCGAACTGTAGTCTGCACCATTCACCAGCCAAGCATTGACATATTTGATGCTTTCGATGAGGTTAGATACCTTTTTATGCTTAGGACTATACAAGTTGAGTATGTTGCTTGGTGTAAAAAGAACTGAGAACTTTACTGTCCCACATTGCAGCTGTTTCTTTTGAAACGAGGAGGCGAGGAAATATATGTTGGGCCTTTAGGCCACCATTCTTCCGACTTGATCAACTATTTTGAGGTTAGGCTTAATACATACTCAGAAATTATACCATCTGAAAATGTTCTACTCAACTGCTAACATAAAAAAGTTTTATTTCTTCAAGGGAATTAGTGGAGTTTCTAAATTACGGGACAGTCACAATCCTGCAACTTGGATGCTGGAGGTTACTTCTGCAGGACAACAAGAGGCTCTCGGGGTTAGTTTCAGTGACATATATAAGAACTCGGAACTACACAGGTTGGATTTCCGTAAAAGTTTGAACTTTTATTTATTAGCTTCTAGTGTAGTTATTAAACACTGAAGGGTGACAAATTGAGATTGAATTCATGGAAAGCCAAACAATCATGTTTTTTTGCAACACTGTACGTTCAAGTTACTAATACCGCATGTCGAATGTTTAGGAGAAATAAGGTCTTGATCAAGGAACTAAGTACTCCACCACCAAATTCAAGAGATTTGCACTTTTCTACACAGTATTCTCAGTCTTTCTTCAACCAGTGTATAGCTTGCCTATGGAAACAGCATTGGTCTTACTGGCGAAACCCATCATACAGTGCAGTGAGACTTTTGTACACTGCTATGATGGCTTTAGTATTTGGGACAATATTCTGGGGTCTTGGTTCCAAAAGGTACATAGATAGCGTTAATTACTTTCGAGATATTTCTATATATGTAAGGTATGTGACGAAATATGAAACCTAATGTTCTTGTGAAATGCAGGAATAACCAACAAGATGTTCTTAATGCAATGGGTTCTATGTATTCTGCTGTTCTCTTCATTGGGATACAAAATGCCTCATCAGTGCAGCCAGTTGTAGGTATTGAAAGGATAGTATTTTACAGAGAAAGGGCTGCTGGAATGTACTCAGCTTTTCCATATGCCTTGGGACAGGTATGTTACCAGTTTGGTGAAGCTTGCTTTTCGCCTAGTAATTTCCAAACTTCCGTTTTTCTACTTATGTACTCCTCTCCTTGTTTCTGTCCCTTGAATCTCGTTTGATTTATTCAATCCAAAGGGCTAGAAATAAAGGGAGTAGTGCTGGAGGAGAGAAGGGAACTGCAAATCCCTTCTAGAGGGCAGATGATCCTTTCCTATCTCTAATCATCCAACACTAATTCCAAATTTTATTGTAGATAATCATTGAGCTTCCATATACTTTGTTCCAAACTATCATATATGGGCTTATAGTATACACCATGATCGGATTCGATTGGACGGTCGGCAAGTTCCTTTGGTATCTCTTCTTCATGTACTTCACCTTCTTATACTACACATTGTATGGTATGATGATTGTGGGCATTACTCCCAACACAACCATTGCTGCTGTAGCTTCCTCAGCCGTCTACCCCTTATGGAATGTTTTTTCCGGATTCATCATTCCAAGAACAGTAAGTAACGCGTAACACATTGTCAATGATCACTTTGCGTATTCTTGTTTATTTGATTTAACATATTATACTAGGACTCAATATGTTGGTTTTTGTGGCACAGAGAATTCCGATATGGTGGAGATGGTTCTACTGGGTGTGTCCGGTGTCTTGGACTTTGTACGGATTGCTTACTTCACAATTTGGAGGCATCAAGGATACGCTTGATTCGGGTGAAACTGTTGAAGATTTTATGAAGGATTATTTTGGCTACAGAGAAGGCTTTCTAGGTGTTGTTGCAATTGTCCATGTTGGGATTTCAGTGCTCTTCGGATTCATCTTTGCCTTTTCAATCAAGACATTGAACTTCCAGAAGAGATGAAAACAAACCTTATATATGTACATGTGAATAAATTGAAGGACTTAATGATCTTTAGTTTTGCTCGGAGTCCGCGAACATGTCCTACAAATTAATGGATGACTGGAATTAACGTACTTGGGTTTAGGGTTTAGGGTTGCTTTACACTTTTGTCGACATAAAAGACACATTTAATTTGGGTGAACCAGCTATGCCTACATATGGAAGACCACTTAAGGAGTTAGTTTGGGTATAGAAAAGGAGTTTGTGGGTGTGGTGTTTGAATTTTGTGCTGTTTAGGATTCATCTCTGCTTTCCCAGTCAATGTGATTTTCCAGTTAAAAATGTAAGATATGAATCCAATAAACCATTGAAACTATCTTCCGACTACCTTTTTTTCACAGGTGCTATCTTCTAATTACCATATCACCACAAGGACTATTAATCCAATTAAGCCTAAAAGTAGCTCTTAGTGTTATGCGATTAGAACATTTAATTCCAAAAAAAATTGAGAATGTTATACAAATAAATACCTATGATTCTTTTCAGATGATAGCAAGCAGAGAGCGTTCGTCACTCCGAGTACCATTCATGCAGCATTGTTATTCAAAAATATTATTGGGTTGTTGAATTTATAAAAAAAAAAAAAAAAAAAAAAAATACGTAGAAGAGTACACGATGACTTTATTACAGTGGTAACAACAGCTCCCATTTCATTTTGTGCATATATTGGGAGGCTTGATTCTGTCTATCGCTCACGTAGGAGAAAACTAACATAGTAAGATCCCATTTGAGAATGCTTTTATAGGAAACACTTCCACTAGGTAAATCCCTCATGTCTCAACCAATTAAAATTTTGAAAAATTAAAGCACTTGGAAGTCCTTTAAGAAGCACCTAGTAAGTGCTTGATTGTACTACAAAGCACTTTTAGAACCCAAAAACTTTTTTCTGGCCAAACGGTTTCAAAAGCGATTTCCGCCACTATATAGGTGCACTTCCAAAAAGCATGTAATCAGCTTAACAAAGAGAAAAACTTACACGACAATGGCCTCTTGTGACAATTAAATGAAAACATGTGAAAGTTTTTGTCCGTATGTCCTAGCTTCATTTGCACGAATACACCACATGCCATTTAAGCTGTTCTCTAAAAGGCTTACAAGCAACAATATAAGTGCAAGATAACCAATCATCATGTAGTTGGAAAGTGAACGCCCATTAGAATAATGATGGTAAGTCATGAACAAGTAATTCCACTGTAAATCCCATCAACTATTTAAAATCATATCAAGGACTGTCTACACGAGTTAAATCAGAGTTATACAGGGACAACAAATTAGGTTACCGACTTGGCCGCCGCATATATTACAGTTGGAACTCGAAAATCTCAGTAAAACTACGATGGAAATTTTCAATTAGACAACACATGATGTAGAGGGGAAAAAGGGTAAAGCATTCGACATCATCTCAAGTTTTCAAGTCATCCAAGAAGCTCTGCAACTCCCTCAAACCTTCCTGCGAAAAACTCCTCTGCACTCTGGAGCGAGGGGCAATCAAATTAGGCGGAGGCTGTGGTTGGAAGCAGACGACGACAGCAGCTAAGTTGTCCCCGCTCTTCCTCTTCAAAGCCTCATCAACCAAATCCTTGCTACACGCGGCTGGGTCATTGTGCTCCTGAAGCCTCCGACGAGCAAAATCCACAGCATTTTGATTCCTGAACACATCCCAGATCCCATCACAACCAATGATAAGGAATTCGTCCTCCTTTGTCAACTTTGTGGTCATAAGTTCTGGCTCTGCACTGAGTGGCCCACCCTCCTTGGCCTTCATCCCTTCCATATGCCAGTCTCCCAAGGCACGAGCAACGTTAAGTTGCCCATTAAGGTAACCATCATACACATGTCCTCCAGATGCCTCGATCCGTTGTTTCTCTTTGCTGCAAATTGGTTTGTGATCTCTTGACATTTCAATTGCTTTTCCACGGCGGCACAGCACTGCTCGACAATCTCCAGCATTTGCAACCACCAACAACCTAGCAATAGAAACTAAGATCAACATATGACTAATCAATGACACACATATCATGGTACATTTGTAATATTTCAGGACATACATAAACGGGTTAACCAGAGAAGACACAGATCGAACCACAATAAATCAACTACACACGTATGCTTGACCTTAGGTAAACACTAAACAGGTCAACTGGATCATAGTTACCCACACCCATAAGAAGAAACTAATCTCAACAGAATATTACTAGGCAGCCTAAACTTTCCAAGTACTCTAATTAAGTCCGAGCTTGCTTCGGAAGGCAGTAGACCAACAATTACAATTTAGGGTAACAACCCAATTATGCTTTTAGTGTCATTGATCTACACTGACACAAGGCAACAATTCATTCAAGGAAAAAAAAAAGGAAACAAACAACCACCACCAAGTTTTATCCTACTAAGCGGGGTCGGCTGTCTGAACAGTCTTGATACATGCATCAATAGTTCAAAGGTAGAGAACAACAACAACAACAACAACAAAGCCTTTTCCCACTAAGTGGGGTCGGCTATATGAATCCTAGAACGCCATTGCGCTCGGTTTTGTGTCATATCCTCCGTTAGATCCAAGTACTCTAAGTCTTTTCTTAGAGTCTCTTCCAAAGTTTTCCTAGGTCTTCCTCTACCCCTTCGGCCCTGAACCTCTGTCCCGTAGTCACATCTTCGAACCGGAGCGTCAGTCGGCCTTCTTTGCACATGTCCAAATCACCAGAGCCGATTTTCTCTCATCTTTCCTACAATTTCGGCTACTCCTACTGTACCTCGGATATCCTCATTCCCAATCTTATCCTTTCTCGTGTGCCCACACATCCCACGAAGCATCCTCATCTCCGCTACACCCATTTTGTGTACGTGTTGATGCTTCACCACCCAACATTCTCTGCCATACAACATCGCTGGCCTTATTGCCGTCCTATAAAAATTTTCCCTTGAGCTTCAGTGGCCTACGACGGTCACACAACACGCCGGATGCACTCTTCTTTTCCATCCAGCTCGTATTCTATGGTTGAGATCTCCATCTAATTCTCCGTTCTCTTACAAGATAGATCATAGGTAACGAAAACGGTCGCTTTTTGTGATCTTCGCTAGATTGCTCCGGTCATTAGTGTGGATAAGTATATAAATGGATAGAGATAGGAAAGCAAACACAAGATGTACGTGGTTCACCCAGATTGGCTACGTCCACGGAATAGAAGAGTTCTCATTAATTGTGAAGGGTTTACACAAGTACATAGGTTCAAGCTCTCCTTTAGTGAGTACAAGTGAATGATTTAGTACAAATGACATTAGGAAAATATTGTGGGAGAATGATCTCGTAATCACGAAACTTCTAAGTATCGGAGTGTGGTGTCGTCTTGACTTGCCTTATCTGTCTCATAGGTAGATGTGGCATCTTCTCTGGAAGTACTCTTCCTCCATCCAGGGGTGGTATCTTTAACTGGTGGAGATGCACAAGGTAATGTATCAATTTCACTTGAAGCTTACTTGTAGTTTCAGGCTTGGTCAAGCGCGATACAAACCATGTAGTAGGAGTCCCCCAAGTCGCCGAGCTAGGGGGTCTGCTGAAAGAGGTGACAGACAAGGTAAGCAATCAGAGCTCCGACTGATTGTTCACCTTCTCCCCATCTTGCAGCAGCATGAAGGATAAAGAGAAGAAAAATGAGAAGAGATGATATGAGATACTTTTGCTTTTGAAGAAGTAACTTTCCACAGGCTTATTCTTGAACTGAGCTGGAGGGTTTTCTGGTTTCCTCCAGAGTATAAGGCCGACTGAAGAATTTGAGGGTCAAAACAAGTCCATCAAATCTAGAGTACGTTCCACCCTGCTGATATGGGATACTTTTGCTTTTGACAGAGTAATGGATGTATCGGCACGTGTGCTGTTACGCTTGTCTCCACATGCTTCCTTGTATCCTTCGCACTTGCCCTATCTGTTCCTCAAGCAGATGCGGAATCTTCCCTGGAAACATAAGATGTTGAAGATGAGTACTCGAGAGCAATGCCAGGTAAGTAATCAGGTAAGGGGTTCCAGGCAGTCAGTTCCTGGCTGGAAGCTTGATTCCAAGTGCTGACTGATTGCTCTCTTTCTCCTTGTCTTGCAGGTAAAAACAAGGCCAAAAGAAAAAAACAGGGAAAAAGCATGATATGGGATACTCTTGCTTTTAACCCTGATGATGATATGAGATATTCTTGCTCTAGTATAGCTTGTTTGCAGAGGTATTATCGGGGGGAAAGAAAGCTGAATATTTCGAAAGGCTTTCGTTGGGAGTGCCCTCTCAGATATGATGAAGGGTTGAGCATTTTTGCAGGTCTGCCTGTCCGTTGGGGATGGAGGTCGACATATATAGGAGTCTCCCTAACAACAAGTAGTAATGCTATTCCTTTACCCTGCTTGGTCATAGCACGGTAGTGGGAGCTGCCAGTTTCACATGTTTTAACTCTGTCAGAGCACTTTGAAAAAGTGGTCTGTGGTATCTGGCTCTCGAGATTCGGGAGAACGATGCCTCTTCGATTTTTGAGAAAGCAATCATGTTGGGGGTCTGACTCTCGAGATTCGGAGAGCAGTGTCTCTTCGATTTTTGAGGAAGTAATCATGTTGGGAGTCTGGCTCTCGAGATTCGGAGGGCGGTGCCTCTTCGATTTTGGAGCAAGCAATCTTGTTGGGAGTGTTGTCTCGAATGTGAGTAAAGGTTGGGCATGTTTGCTAGTCTACCTTGCCACGAAGCACAAAGGTTGACACACAGGGACTTTCCAATTATCCAGCAATGGTACTGTTCCTTTACCCTCTCTTCGATTTTGAGAAAGTAGTCATGTTGGGAGTCTGGCTCTCGAGATTCGGAGGACGGTGCCTCTTCGATTTTGGAGCAAGCAATCTTTGTTGGGAGTGTTTTCTCGAATGTGAGTAAAGGTTGGGCATGTTTGCTAGTCTACCTTGCCACGAAGCACAGAGGTTGACACACAGGGACTTTCCAATTATCCAGCAGTGGTACTGTTCCTTTACCCTTGTGGGTAATAATATGGTAGCTAGACCTTCAAAATTT